GCTACTGTTATATTAACAATTTTTGGTTCAGATAATAAACGAGTTGGTCCGGTGTTACTTTTTAAAGGAAAAGGGCAGGTGTCGAGTATTGAGAAAAGGCAATATGCTAATGGTGTTAAAGTGTATTTTACTCCGAAGGCTGTTAACAATCGGATTACAATGGACAAGTAAGTTAAAGAGCGAAGAAAAAGAAATCACCTGAAATTAAGGATGTGATGAAAAATATATTAATTCTTTTTTTCCCCAGATACATGGAATATTGGATGTCGGAGGTCAATGACAAGAATCCGAAATTATTTATTTCTGGCAGTTCAAATACACATCTTGATCACAAGTCAATTCGATTATTACGAAAGAAACAAATTGTTGTTGCCGTAATACCGAAGGGGTGTGCTATGTATATTCAAGCACTCGATGTTTATGTGTTTTCAATATTTAAAAAGCATTACTATGATTGCTCAGAAGAGTATATTGAGAAAGCATGTGGTCGCTTGAAGGCCAAGCTCGCTGCATCAGAATCAAGAGTTCTATGTACACGACTTACTTTGATTGCATGGAAAAGAACAGTTTTTGCTATTGATTTCAGGGAAAGTTTTCGTGAAATTGGGTATACATGGGCCGATCATGTTACACCAATAAAGCTTCATACTCTTCCTGGATATATGTACGATCCGAGTGATCGTAACTTGACTTGTTCAATCGAAGAAAACGAGATAGATTTTAGTATTTCTAGCAAAATGGCTAAAAAGCAATTGAAGTTGACTGACTTTTGGTGAACTATAATTACGCAAAGGGTCTAATGTGGGACCGTTAATGTTTTTTGTTTTGTATGAAGAATGTTTTTGATTAAAGAAAGAAAAATAAATATATGAATTAACATGAAATGAAAAAGAAAATATCAGTTTATAAGCCAGTCACAGAGGGCTGTTCACAGCTATCAATAGGTCGAGAAATCTATACTAAATTAGTCATAGTTCAATTTTAAGTTGCTGAGCTACAAAACAAAGTACCTAATTAACTAATTTTAAAAAAAGACGCTTTTACTAGGAAAATCATATTGGAAGATCATCCTGAGACGAATGACATGGGTATGGTTCCATTTAAGATTTTAAACTTGTGACTGCGACTAGTGATGCCATGTTCAAAGAGCTTCTTTTTGGAGAGGGAAAAGTAAATGGGAAACGATGTATTGCTTGACTTCTTGAAAAATGAGGATTTATAACACGGACTTATTCGAAATATGAAATGCATGAAAATTTTTTCTCATTGTTATTTTGATCACATTATTAAACACTGATCTTTATTTGTTGATGTCTGTCGATACGCATGATCAAGCAAGAAAATTCATTCCATTCTGTTCTTCGATGAACGAAAAAGTTGACGGCAAAAAACAGAATGGAAAGAAAATGTATAAATAGAAGAAAGAGAGTGAATTCATGGCATTCGATTCCTCGCTCTTTTCAAGACTGGTTGACGAGAAAAGAAAAAAAGAATTAATACAAGCATATATATATATATATAATTAACCAAATGTCTGTGTTACATTCATTCTTTTATTGTTTTGTACCAAACGACGATCTGTTCATAGACGTAAGTAAAATACAATGTACAATATACGAAACAGGACGCTTATAAAAGAGACTAATCTTTAAAATAATGCTAAAAGAATTACTGTAGAGTAATTGAGGAAGACTGATGTTCAATGAAATACACTGTAAAAAGAATTCGTAGAATAAGAAACCCTAGTACTTTCGGCAAAATCTTCCTAAACCCTTTAAGGGTTTTTGATAAAAAGGGTATTTTAAATGAAAAAATGGTTTATGCGGAGAAAAAGAAAGGTTCATCAATATACCCTTCATAAAAAGGGTTTCTTATTCTGCGGTTATGGATTTATTGTTCTACTCTTTCACGAAAAGCGTTTATTATTCTACGATCAAAAGTTTATTACTCCAACTTTTCAACAAAGCGCTCTCTCACTATCACTTGAAATCTTTTGCTACGGTGGTTATTTCCAAAAACAAACATATTCCAATCGAGAAGAATACTATCAATCAATAGCAAGTTTTCGAAAATTGAGGAGTTCTAAAAAAAATCAGAATACTCAATCTTTCACAATATTGTTCTTTTAAAGTTTAGACATTTCTAAGCGTTATTTTTCAGTCCTTAAAGAAAAGAACTCAGAAAAAATTCTAAAAATTATTTCAAATTTATTTCAAAGAATTCCTATCAATTAAATAATTTATTAAATATATAATATACTTTTAAAAATCGATATATCTGTAATATGAACTGTAAAATTTAAGTGATCTACTTTAATAATATTTTAAAAATATCATTCAATTTCAAATAAATAACCGGTACAGAAATCTATTATTCCGATTTCTTCATCAAAATAGGAAGCGCCTATTCAGAAGAACATCGTTTTATTTCAGAGTACATTTCATACTATGCAACTTGAGCGCGAATCTGATCGAATGGATAACAAGTTAGACAATCATGGATTATGTCATATGTTCGAACCCAGGTGGCAACAGCAAGTACATCACTTAATTAATTATAAATCTATGATCGTATATATATATACGATTTGAAACGCAAACTGAATTGGAATAATAGCAAAATAATGATTGTGTAACATCTAAAATACTTTTTTAAAATAACCTTTAGATGTTTGTCTCACTAGAAAACGTATTTAAAAGGGTTTGTTAAAGGATTTATGGCAATTTCACATACGGTAAAAAGGGTTTATGAAAGGGTTTAGGATAGTTTTAAATACGGTAAAAAGGGTGTATTATACGTTGCACTTTCATCAACCCTTTTTGGGTTTATTATTCTACGAATTTTTTTACAGTGTATGTTTTTTCGTTATTGCGTCGTTTAGTTTTCTCGTTCGGATATATAAGGGGCTAACCTTATATTTATTTGTGGTTTTTTCATCACTGTTATCGTTATTTACATTAAATTTACTTTTTCTCATTAAAAATTGTGGATTATGCATATACTTAAACAGGGTAAACTAATTATTTACGTGAGTTCTCCACATAAGATCGATTAATCTAAAGAAAACGTATCACTGACTGAGAGTAAAAATAAAATAAAGATTAATTTAAAACATCCCTAAAAGAGAGCCTCACAATAGAATACCAAATGACAATATATACAACAATTTTAATTAAACAACTTATGTTAAAAAACTAACAAACCAATGACACTCATTGGCTCAGCCTAGAAAATACTACCAGTTCTCGCTTATATCAACACACAATCAATACAACTTCAACTGATTTTACCTACACTGTAAAAAAATGGTTTAGTGGAATATGAACACTGGAATTTCGACAATGTCCAAATTCTTCAGGAATTACGGCAATATCAATTTTTGCTGATGATTTTATTGTCCAATATCCGATGGAAATTGGACAATATACATCATAGTTGGAACTAATATGTTTTGGTTGAAATAGACATTAACTCGTTTGTCAATGAATAGAAAGCTAAGAAGTACTATGCAATTATACAAGGTTTCACATGAAAAACCTTTTTTTTATTATTAGAAGCACTAAAAAAGAAAAACAATAGTGCATATGATTTCTATATAAAAACGTCGAACAGGAGAAATTGAACGAAAGAAACTGAATTTTAGATAGGAGATATTCTTAACCTATGGCTTACATTTTCCGAACAAGCGGGTGTGGGTGTCGGGTTGCGCGTGGGTTTGACTATTTGTTACTACACCCACACCCTCAGGCTAAGAATATCTCCTATCTAAAATTATGTTTGTTTCTATCAATTTCTCATGTTCGACTTATTTATATACAAACCATATACATTGATTTTTTTTGCTTTTCCGCGCGCTTCTAATACTAAAAAAGAAAAAGTTTTGTGGGACTCAGATATATTTTCGAAGAAAATGGCGAGTGTAGGTTTAAAAGCGAGATTTTTGCGGCTCCCCCTCCCCCATTACAGACATTAACGAGTTTAAAATTGTACTAATTATGAGCTTGACTAATTAGACTGCTATTTCTTCCTTTTTTAATTAAAGACCATAGTAACTAGCTTAGGGTACCATTACAGACCATAGAAAATAGTATTTGTCATTGTTAAATATACGAGCTAACAAGTAATACTCGATTACAGACATAAGCAAATAGACAATGGCCTAATTATAGGTTTTGGAAGTCAGGATAGATTTTTCAGATGAACTATTTTGAATTATTTTAGCAAGCCAAATGGATATATGTGAGTTCCATATTTTAGCCCCAAAGGAGCGGCGCTAACAAATTTTTTCATGTGAAACATTGTATAATAACATAGTACTTCTTTGCTTTCTATTCACTGACAAATGAGTGAATGTGTATTTCAACGAAACATATTAATTTCAATTACACTGGAAAAAAATAGCACCACACGGAACCATTTTTGAAACGAATTCGAAACCTTCAAACAGATTTCGTAGAACCCCAAGATAGTCTCAAAACGATTATCAATAACCCAGGAAACGTTTTCGAAGGCGATGTGGAAAACCTACGAAACCTAAAACCGGTTCAAAATTCGTTTCAGAGTTCGAAACCCTTTTCTTCCGTATATGACGAAGATAATAAATGGTTTTTCGGTTTATGACGTGGAAAAATTGTTTATCATGTATTGCAACGATGGGTGTGGGTGGATGTAGAGCAGAACAATAACAACCCACAACCAGGCCCTCGCACCCACATCCCACCCTGTATATACATGAAAAATATGGAAAACTGAAAGTGATAGTAGAAGAGAAAATAGTTTAAACAGAACAAGGATAAAGTTTTTACAAGTTTCAAAACAGTTTTAATGCAGCAAGGAATACTTCAGAGAATAGGTCTTGGCCACAGTCAATGAATACTACATGCAATAGGTCATATTTAGTAAAGATGTTAGTCGAAGAAGTCTTCGACTACTTCCCACCGTTAGGGTTTTTTAAAATTTTTTGCTACATAGTTTCTTATTTTTCATGCCTTTCACACTCCCTTCTGGCCTGCTGACACTTTATCCCCAATTCCCAACATATGACTACACTACTCTGGGAAAATCCTAGCTACGCGAGTCAACTTGTAATGACCTCACTGATCATGTATTTATTGGTCAAGTAAAACTTTCTAGGATAGATGCGTGCCAAGTTCGAAGTAGAAAGAAAATCAACGAAAATGCTCTTTCAAAAAGAACTTAATGGAGCAATTGAAACTCTAGAAAAATAACATTGTGTGAATAGACTAAATCATGAACATATGCTGCTAAGAGATCTCTCGAGATGGCAATGGTTGGTGAACAAGGTCGAATGTTTCCCAGCTGTTAATGTTGGTTCGATTAGCAATCAATGCACTCATGCCGAAATAGTCAGCACAGACATACTTCCCATTGTCTGCAATGAAAGCCACTTTCCCATTACCACAATCCACCATTTTGAAAGTTTCTGAGGAACTGACTTCAGTGTGGTTGGCGATCAAAGGACTATTTCCTGCAGTTTCGGAGCTCACATAGTGTCCATTGGCATGTGACTTGAGAGCAACATTGTCCCCACTTAAGACAATAAGATCGAAAGTTTCCCAACTGGACACAGTATTTTGGGTAGCAATCAAAGAACTTTGTCCACCATTCTCAGCACAGACAAATTTGCTGTTGGCATTCGAACGTAGGGCGACCACCTTTGAAGTGGGAGGTTTGGAGACAATGTTTTGATTACTGGTTTCTGAGCTTCGCTTCCATCCTATGCGAATTATAAATATCTTTAGATTGCCAGTTTTCA